TTTTGGATTGGCAAGACAACCAAAGACCCTTTAGACTCCTGTATATTATGACAGAGAGCAAGAAAATCAACATCGCCTTGGGGCAAGACAGTGACTATATATTGCTATCTTTCCCATGTGAATACAAACTGCTTCTAATCCTTTTTCCTGATGTGAATTGAAAAGATCAAATGTTGCATATCAAATGCTGGAGGCTATGCTGATCTGTTCTAGTAAAGACAACATATCCAGCACAGTAGCGACAACTGGGACTATCATTTGTTTTGATGGTTTACTCTCATTATCTTAGAATAATCTGGATTTTTCAGGAACCCAACCAATGAAGTGCATGGGAGTGTGACGGGAGAAAACAACTCCAAAATCCTTCAAAGTTGATGCTGGCACTAATTTCAACAAAGCAACCTAAGATATGGCATGGCTTTGGACTTAACAGCTTAGCCAAGAACATAGCATTTTGAAAGGCCTCCACTTGGGCTTCTTATCATAATAGTCAAGGAAATAAATGTGAAGGTTTTGGCAACTACTAATTACATCTATTCGAATTATATACTCAGAATCCAGGGGAGAAAAAATAATAAGAATCGGTGTGGGGATCCCTTGGACCCAGTACAAGGCAGAATTAAACCACGGGTCCCTTATCACCAAGCTTCAATAGGCCCCAATTCTAATATGGGGATTATTGTGGCATTTGATTTCCCACTCCAGACCCTATATCCAGCAGATCCCAAAGTTCTTACAGCTCCTTCTTTCCTAAGTAGACAGTTGCTTGGGAAAAGGTTGGAAAAATGTCAAATCCTTCCTCAAAGGGACTTGGCCTCCCCTTCAGTAAATGGACTCTAAGTCTGAAAAGTGGCTCAGAACTGCAAAATTGATAAAGATTCATTATTTTCTGCTATGGGAGCTGCCATAAACTTTGATTTTTTTTCCCTTGTTGGCTGCCTGCTTGTCTAACTCCTTAGCTATCAGCACAACCTTTGGGCAAAGGCTCTTAGGTAACACTTGGTTCTACTGCTTTATGCAGTGAGTAAGTCCACACTTTCTCTGTCAGTTACCTGTCTGCTCCTGGCCTCTGCTACTACAAAAACCCATTATTCCCCTTTTCATCAAGGAATCTAGTTCCATGGCAGCATCTCCCACTGTCTTGGTTACTTTTCTCTCGTTGCTGAGACAAAATACCCAACGCCAAAAATGAAGGAAGGAAAGGTTTATTTAGCTTACAGTTTGTGGAGGTTTCAGTCCATACTTGGCTGGCTCCGAGGCAAAAGGTAGCAAAGCAACAAGAGCAAAGGGGGGAATGGCAGCAGAACAGCAAACAGCCAGAGCAAAGCGGAGGAATGGTGGCAAGCAGCTTCTTTCTTGCCTTACATCGTAAACAGGCTACCCCCACCTAAGGGGCGTGTAGCTCTCACATAATCTCCATGCCCTCCTCTTCCACAGGCTCAGGATGTATACAAAGTAAGTATCCTGGCTTCCTGCTGAGTCACTTAGCCAAACCTCTAGACTCCCCAAGTTGACACAATGTTTCAACCATAACACCCACCATCAACCTTTGGCTATAGAAAATACTCCCTGCTGAGCTTCTTGGTAGTGTTGCATAACCCAGACTAGTGGATCCTTGCTGCTCTAGTGAAGGCAGTGTCCTGTGGACACTTCCAGAAAACACAGTCAGCTGCTGTCATAGTCTCCCCAGCTCTATAAACCCTCTGATCCTTTCCTTAATACTCTACCAAGGCAATTCCAGTATCACCCTCTAATTTACTGCAGCCCCAACCTCCATGGAAATATTCCAGTAGCAAGCATATTAGCACTGGCTTCAAGTGTCCTTGCCAGGAAATTAACCCTATACAATAAGCCCCCTGGTCCAGGCTTATGTTTCCACTGGCAACCTTTCACAAGTCCAAAACCTTTGGCATCCCCTCTATATGTGCCTCCTGGTTCCTGCTACCACATATTAGCAATTTATGCATCTCTTTCTGTGATAAACTAATTCTTTCTGGAGCAGGATCTGATCTCCCTGCTTAAGCTATGCTGAGACCTAACTCAAGGTAGTTTTCTGATTTCTGTAGTGACCTTAAGATTAGGATTAACTGTGGAGAGCCATATAACAAAAGGAGACCAGTCCCCTATCTGCCACTTGGAAGAAAGTCATTACTTAGCAGGACCTTTATTTTGGAAGTAAGAAACAAACATTTATTCTGTTAAGATACTGAGATGTTAAAGGTTTTTCTTTCAACACAGCTGCCCTAGCCTTAACTAACAGAATGCTCTATTACCTCCATGTCTTCGAATCCAGAACAAATTGATCCATGTGACCAGGAAAAGGAAGAAAAGTTCCTCTAAGGATAAGTTCTACCTCATACCTCATTTACTGATCCAGGATGAACCTTTCCCCAGGACTATTGAAACTGGTGGGAGGGCCAGGGATATAGCTCAGTGGCATAAGCATCTGCCTGGCAAGTGCAAAGTCCTGAGTTCAATTCCTGGTACCAAAAAAAAAAAAAAAAAAAACAGTATCAATTCAAAACTGGTGGGAATGTCACTCCCTTCTAAGAAAAGTCTGACTCCCCTACCCACAGAGGTATGATCAGACCCCAAGGCCCCAAGACACAAATAATCTGGTGTCAGTGTATTTCCCCAAGTCTAAGTTCTTCCACCTTAATAACATCTGTGAGTCCTTGCTGAGCCCTCAGGTTGAGCAAGGCTGTGCCTGGCTCAGTTTTTTCTTGTTCTCTCATTAAGATTTTTTAAGGTCTCATCTATGCTCACCTCATATCAAAAAAAAGACTTTTGAGCCAAAGGAAAAGGAAGAGAAAGTTGAAAAGAAAGCCAAAGAGGAGAGGGGAGAGGTGGTACATTTACCCCACAAATTACTCGGGCTGGAGCTCTTGGGGGACATCTCGTTTGTCAGAGTACAAGGAAGTGGCATGGGTTCCGAGGAAGAACTCCATGTCTAGAACCTGGAGAACAAGCTCTGGATCGGATTCAACCACTCTCTGGCCCTCAGTCTTGTCTACTCCCTAGGTTTTGTTTTTGCATCTGGAGATAATTTTTATTTCCCAGGCCACAGAAGCTCAGGGTAAAAATTAGAACAAACAGTGGCTCCAAACAGAGAGAAACAGATATGCCATTGCTGTTATCAGGTGCTGCCGCCACTGTCACTGTCACTGAACCACTACCAGTACCATCCCATCATTCATGCAGCAAATACACAGTGCGTGTGCCGAGAATACAAGAGTAACAAGGAAGTCACGGCCCCTGCTCTCCTAGGGCTTACATTCTAGTGGAAGAAACAAGTGTTCATCAGATAATCAAACAAATTAGTGTATAATTACAAACTGGCATAAATATTCTGAAGGAAAGCAACACATTCTATGAGAGCAAATAAAGAATAAGCTGGCTTAAATGCTTCTCTGAAGATGTAACATTTGAACTGACATCTGAAGCATGAGTAGGAGTTAACAAGGCAAAAAGAGAAGGGCGGGGGGAGAGCATTCCCAGCAGATGGTACAACAGGTGCCGAGGCTCTGAGTTGGGGGGACAGGGACATGAACATGTTGTTGGAAGCAAAAGGGCAGCGTAGACCACAGAGGCCAAAGGAGAGCCTGCCGTGATATGGGGCTGGAGAGACAGGCAAAGCCAAGCCCTGAGCTCTTAGCGCGACATCACAGATGCTGGTCTCTCCAGTAAGAGCAATCTGGGGGAGACGGGCTGGAGGGATTTACACTGGGGAAGCAACATGACCAGACTGGTGCTTGGAAGAGCTTACTTTGGCTGTGGTGCGGACAATGGATTGAGGGGAACAGGAATAGAAGCAAAAAGATGAGGTAGGAGCCCTTCATGGGAATCCAGGAAAAAGATGATGAAGGTTTATACTGTGGGTGTAAAACCAAAAGGACTTGGATGATAGGTGGATAATAGGCTAAGAGCAGCTGCTGCTGACATCTTGTGCTCTCAGCATCTCATAAAAATTGCAAGGTTCTTTTGGTTTGGAACAATGGAATCTCATCATACACAGGGGTTAGATTGGAAGTCTGTGCATAAGACAAGAATTGCATGTAGTCAAAAGTACCCTTGAAAAACACTGAAACCACTCATAAAGTACAGTATACATCAGTTTGTTTATACAGCCATGAACAGAAATTTTTAGGCACACTAAAGTTAGAGAGCCACTGAGCTAGAATAAAGAAAGCAACAGAAGGGAAGCCCATATGCAAATGTCTGGGCATTCAAATCACTTGCCTTTAAGACAACTACTCAAATCCCCAGCAGTGAATGAGGGGACTGTCACAGGGAGACAATATACACATAGCAGGCAGGGGCAGGAATTTTTTTTTTAATATTCCCACTTTCCTGACTATTTAGTCCTTTCCATTTCAACACTAAGCTTTTGTAACTCTTAACACACATTCACACACTAGTTGCTTATATTAGGTGGCCTGTGTGTAGAATCCCCAGTCCAACATCTGCTCCACCCTCTTCTTCTTTTCCAAAGGTGTGCTCTTTCCTCCATACCCCACCCCCACCACACTCCAGATCCACCTGAGACCCAGACGAGCTGACTCTGCATTAAGCCAAGACCCTTGTATCAGACAGGAAAGATGAAGTCAATCTACCATAACAAATCACCCCTTAGTTTTAGTGGCTTAAAACAAAACAAAAAGATTATTTCTCACTTGCCATTTGCACATCATGGGTTGAATGAGGTGCTGGTCTTTGTGTCTTCATGGGTCCAATGGAGCAGATACCGTCTCTAACATTGCCAGCCCCAAAGCGGAGGGAAAGCGAGCTCTGGAGGCTTCACAGAGCCATTAAATGCCCATACAAGGCACAAGTCACTGCCATTCACAACTCATTGGCCAGAATTCATCACAAGGCTTCACCCAACCACAAGAGGGCCAAGAAGTGCAATCCTGCCATGTGTTCAGCAGGTGCACAGCCAGAAATATTTGACAAACAACACTAATGACTTCCACATGCTCTAAATGTACAATGACAAGAGAGAGAAGAGACAAGCTTTAATTATTAAGTCTGTGTTTGGATCCAGGGCTCTGTGTAACCATGTGGCTGAATGAAATATGCCCATCATGCCCCAGGGGGCATAAGCTATGCCCAGAAAAAGACTCCCAGGCAGCGTATGGATGCACTATCTTGAAATTCAAGAGTCCCAACAGAGGCAGCTGACAGCCTGGGCTTAACTCCACCACCTCTCTAGCCTCTCCCAGCCCAACATTCCAGTATGAGGAATATTGGGCCGGAGCTCACACTGCATCCTGAAATCTCTGACAGTTCGGGCTGGGGACAGTGGATATATAGTTGAACCCTTGTCCTTCAGGAGCTCCCTGCATAAATGACTGCCACGTGCTGTGGGAGATACTGTCCAATGGCCCTCAACCTCTCTCCCTTGTCCCTAGACACAGGTGCAGCCTAGTTCCCCTCCCCTTGAATCACTCATGAGGCCTGTGACTTGCTTTGACCAGCGGTGTGCAGCAGAAGTGAGGTCCAAGCTTTAGAGGGAATGGCCAGTTCCACTTCTCTCTTCTTGGAGCCCATGGCATAAGGAAGCCAAAGCCAGATGACTGAATGGTTAGAGGCCAGGTAGGTAGAAGCTCTGCAGGGTAAGTGGCCATCTTGGGTGGTGCAGCTATAGGTAGGTCCCAGCTGAGAGCAGCCACATGAGTGACCTAAACTCCACCAGATGGTTCAGAACTGCCCAGTTGAGGCCAAGCGACCTATAAAATATAAAAAAAAAAAATCAACGATTAAAGTCATCGAGCATAAGAATGGCTTGTTACACAACAACAAATAACTGAAAAACGTGCACTAGCAGATGTGGATGGATTGTCCTGAGGAAGCCCGAGGAAGGAAGATCTGAGAACACCTAAAAATGTGCAAGCTGGGTGTAGTGCCACACACCTGTAATCCCTTTAGTCTGAAAGGCTGAGGCAGGAGGGTCACAAGTTCTACCCCAACTTGGAAAACTTACTGATATAGCAAGACACTGTGTCGAAACAACAACAACAAAAAAATTAAGAACAGCTGGAGATGTAGTTCAACTCAAAGCTCTTGGATTTAATCCCCAGTGCCAGAGTGGGGCATGGGGGGATCTTTAGCTTGGATTTTCTGGAAACAGTTGCATGGACTTACACTGGGACGGGAGAGGTGTTATGGAGAGAGATATATACTTATAAGTAAGTGAGGAAGCTAAAAACAAAATTAATCTGAATGTAGGATCATGACTTGTTACTGGATACCAGTAACAAAGCACAGACAGAAGGAACAAGTCCTAGTGTTTGGGAGGGGACTGTAGTTTACAGTAACATTATATATTTTATTTAAAACCTGAAGAAAGAAGCTCAAACATAAAGAAATGCTAAAGCGATGGAAATGTTAATTTCCCTGGTTGAATTGGTACACATTACATACTTGTGTTAAAGTATTACACTATAGGGGCTGGGGGTTTAGCTCAGCGGCACAGTGCCTGCCTGGCAAGTGCAAGGTCATGAGTTTGATTCCTGGTACCGGGGGGAAAAAAAATTACACTATAGCCCATAAATTTGTACAATTATTACACATTAATCAAAACAGTTTTAAAGAAGTGAGGACGCTAAGACCAGAGCAGTGAGGTGGTTGCAACTCTGACCTAGGACTGTCCTATAAGAGGCTCTGAAGCTAAGAAGGAAGCCTGGGTTGTGCCAAACTAAAGCAAGGAGGCTGTATGGTTGATAACACTGTGTCAACTTGAGAACTGAGAAGTTTAGAAGCTTAACTAAGTGACTCAGCAGGGGACCAGAGTCCTCAATTTGTAAACATCTTGAGCTTGTGGAAGAGGACGTGTGGGCGGATAGACCACATACAATATAAGGGAGGAAAAGAGGCTTGCTTCCCCTCCTTGTGTTCTTGCTGCTTTTGCTGTCTTCAGCTGCCTTAGACTGTTGCCCCTGTGCCATGCCACCCTGCTTTGGATCCAGCTGATTACTGACTGAAACCTCCACAAACCATGAGTAAATAAACCTTTCCTTCCTTAATTTTGGGCATCGGGTATTTTGTCTTAGCAACAAGAAAAAAGTAATCAAGACAGAGGCTAGCCTTGAAACCCTCTCTTTGGCCATCATTAGCTGGGGACAGGTCCCAGGATGGGGCATAACTTTAGGGAAGGTAGTGCCTGCAGCTGTAGACAGTCCCTGTGGAGGATGCAACTGTGAGCCTCCAGCCGCTGGCATTCTCAGTAACCAAGGATAGAAGTGCCCTGAAGAGGGGACCAGGCAAGAGAACACAATGTCCCCATAGGGGGTGAGCCCATAGCACTTCAACTGAGACAGAGAAGGCTCTGGCAAAGCCAAGAAGGTAAGAGAGTTTCCAGGCAAAGGAAACAGGAAAAGCAAAGGCAATGACAAATAGGAAAAGAACACACAGGAAAGGAGGCAAGAGATGAAGCAACACCCTGCACAGAAATGTGGATTTTGTCCTGAGGCAACAGGGAGATGCTGAAGTATTCTAAGCAAGGCAGAGACTGGTAAGATATCTGTTTTAAAAGATTCCTCTGACAGCAGTGTGCAGGATGGACCTGTGAGTTAAGACTAGAGGCAGAGAGCCTGTCAGTGCTGCAACGAATAAAGTTCACCCCCAGCTAAATAAAGTTCACCCACAGTGACTTCTTCCCTTGGCAGCCAGCTTATGTTGCAACTTACCCACATTCTTGACCTCATGGCTGGAAGCAGGGTGGGAGACAACTCTGGGGCAGGAAGATGGGTGCGCTGCAGGTGGGTGGGTGCACACTGCCGGGCATCTTTTGAGGTAGAAGACTTTGCAGCATTTTTAAGTATGGGGAAGATCTAGCCTTTCACAGGAGGGCAAAAGACACTCTGCTGCCTCTGAGGGTCAGGGTGACCTAGGGTTTCAAGGTATTCAAGGTAATTGACCTAAATGTCCCTGTTCCAATTATCAGGGCCCCCAGTCAAGCTCTGACCAATCAAAGCATAGCTGACTTACAACATGGAGAACTCAATTTTCTTTGAAAATCCGTTACCCTGATATTCATTACTGGGCCAAATCTCAGTTTTTCTGCCCTCCAGCTATAGGAGAAAATCTCTTTACTAATGACAAGGAAGCCCTCTTGCTTTCAGGATTCACCATAAATTGGTAATTAATCACCCTTAGCCTTTTATTGTCTTTTCCCAATCCTCTGATCACCCCCAGCAACAATCATTTAATTTCATTGTCTTTATAATTACTACTTCCTCTAAACCTCTAAAGGTTTGAGAGACAACTCTCACCAATGGGTTCCTTTTCACCGGCATCCTAGCCCACTTTACCACCAGTAAAAGTTCTAACAGTTGCACTGCTAGAGCAAGTCAGGGGCCATTAGTACTTCCACCCACACCCCTGGTGACAGCTCTCATTACCAACAGGCCCGTGGATGATCAAGCTCCGAAATCCCATTTTAGAGTCTGTTTCCTAGGAACCACTCCTAGCACCAACTGTAGTAGTGGGTCAGGTTCCCTAGAAATAGATCAAAGATGGAGATTTACATGCAGAGGACTTACTGAAGAGTGATCTCAGGAACATTCGGAAAAGAGAAAGGGAAACTGCACTGCACAGAGGGAGAAGTTGAACTCTGATGCATTTGCAACAGAGATCTTAATCCTGTGCAAGTTCTAAAGTAGGTTTGGCCCCTTTAGAGGTGTCCCAGAATAAGGCAAGAGTAATTATTGAGTCTCTTCCAGGACGTGGAACCTTTTTTTTTTTTTTTTTTTTTTTGGTTTTTCTCCGGTACCGGGAACCGAACTCACGACCTTGCGCTTGTCAGGCAGGCGCTTTTGCCGCTGAGCTAAATCCCCAGCCCCCAGGACGTGGAACCTTGAATGAGGCAGTGCCATGTGGTCAGAGGTAATTCATAGGGAGAGACTGCTGAATAATGTTGGCCACCAATGCTTTCACTGGCTGTAAGAATTAAATGCTCTAATGGGTCCCTCTGAGGGGCAACCAGGGGACAAAACCACAGCATTCACTACACCCAATATCAGGAAACTTGAGATAAGAGAGTGGTGGCTAGTGTTGTTGCCAAATTCAGGTATGCATCTATCCACTGGATTTGACCACAAAGTTGCTGGAGAATGGGAAATAAGTTGATTGAAGGGAGCAATGGAGGAGAAGATCAGGTAAGAGGAAAAGAATGAACAAAAGGAAAGGTGACTCTCTTGACCTCTCTAGGTTCCACAAATGTTTGAATTCTTCTATAGATCTAGTGTTTGGGGAAAGTTATTCTTTAGGAGCTTACAGCTTGAGTATAGTTTGCATTTCGCCTGTACAAACATGTACATAGACACATAGATACACACAGGGACATACTGAGATTTCCCAAGGCAAAAAGTATAGCAACTGGCTTGTGAGCAGATCGCCATCCTCATCAGCCAAAACCTGACCCCTGCAGATCAGACTTCTGTATGCCATCTCTCCCTGTACATCTGGAAGGCCAAGGTACCCCAGCTGGAATGTTGGCTGTGTCTTTAATTCTGATCAGAATTCTAGAAGCAACCCAAAGCAAGGACAGCCCAGGTCAGTAACATCAGTAGTATTTATTAAGGACCAGCTTTTTGTCCAGGCACCTGCCAAGTGCTTTACAAAGTTAGCTCATTTAATCCCCTCAGGCCTTGTAAGATGAGTACCTCTGCTACCCCATTTCACAGATGAAGAAGCAGAGACTTAAAAATTAAACAACTTTCCCATGGTCATACAACTTGTCAGTGGCAAAACTGAGATTGAGAGTCCCATAAGGCTGATGACAGAGACAAGCAAGACATTAAGAAATGAGTAAGTTGACTCATTTATTTAGCAAGTGGTAGAGAGTCTAGTATTCCAGACACTTGAGAAACATCAGGGAGCTTTGTCCATAGTGACTCCCCCTCATGGGTCTCTGTGGAGCAGGAGAGATGGATAGGAAACAACAAGTGTAATACACTGACATTTGCTCATTTCTTATGGTACAAGGCACCGTGAAGGCTGTAGGATGGCACCCGGTTCTCACTTCTAAACTGAGGCACTTCTTCAACTTCTGGAAGTGCTGATGGCCCATGGCAGTCAGCTGACCCCTTCCTGAGTTGCTCAGGGAGGATGGCTGCTCCACCTGAGGTCACTCCCCTGCTCTAGGAGCACCCCATATTCCGTGTCTGGTCCATAGAGAGTTCTTAAGACCCCAGCCCGCTCACCATAATGCGAGCAACTCTGAAAGCTGGTCCAGCTCATGGCTGCCCTTGGGGCCAGCTGAGGCATTTGTTATGATTCCATCACATTTCAACTCTTCCCTCTGCCCAGTACTGCCTCCTCCATTCCCCATAAGTCTTGATCTGAAAGACCCTTTCCCAAGGACCTTTCTCCCAGAAAACATCTGTACCAGAATGTTTCCCAATGCACCCAACCTGTGACAGAAAGTATGTATTTTCTGAGGTAAAAAAGCAGCAGTGTACAGGGGATGAGGAAGGCAGGGCCTGAAGAGGCCTGAAGAGGCAGAAGGTAGAATCAAATGGGATATTTAAGGTGATCTCACTAAGAAGTCATATTTCAGCAAAGACTTGAAGGTGGAGGAGAGGGAGGTATCCAAGTGACAATTGGAAATACATTTAAGCAAAAGGAACAGCAAGGAAGCCAGCAGAGTAGAGTGGCATTAAAAGGAAAAGTTAGCTGGGAGGTAAGGTAAAGGGAAACAAAGCACATAAGAACATGCAGGCCACTGTGAGGTCCTCGACATTTTGTCTGAAAGAAGCAGAGGACACAGTCTGACTTTGAACTTTGAGCTTCCCCTGACTGCCATGTAGAGGGGAAGGGCAGGAGCGAGGGGACCTGTCTGGAGGTTATGGCCATAAACCAGGCAGGGATCTTGGTGATGCTGAGCAGGGTGGTGGCACTGGAGTAGCAAGAAGTGATCAGATTCAGGATGCACGTTTACTGTACAGCCACATGATTTGCAGATAGACCGAGTGTGGGAAATGGACATAAGAGAGGAGCTGAGAATGATTCCAAAGGTTTTTAGTCCAAGAGCTGAGACAGGGGAAGACTACAGATGAAGCAGGTTTGAAGAAGAGTTTTGGTGTGGATATGTTAAACTGGAGATTTGCAGAGCAACATCCACAGGACTGAGTAGCCAGCACAGCTCTGTGACGAGGCATATCTAATTGGGTATAAGAGATGTGGCTCAGGGGCACAGTGGAAGTGGGCGACGCTGTGGGTCTGACGGCACAGGGTCCTGCCTTATACGACAATCCCATCACCTGACCGTCCAAGACCTACTCCGAGCCCCAATGACCTCATTCTGTGAGGCACAGACAGACAGGGAATGCTCTGCGTGAGAATGAAGAAGGGTCCAACAGTGTGCCTGTTTAGGACAGACATAAGAGTATATCTGGAGGTCAGAGTGGGGCGTCTGTACAAACAGAGGTGTTCCTGTGCGTGAGGGACTGGTTGTAAGAACATGCAAGTGGGTGTGTGTGTGTGTGGTCCTGCAGGTCCAACAGCTGTGTACCTGTGAGGAAGTGGTGCCAACCGCTGGCCTGACACATAGCTGACTCTCACGGTCATAGAAGGTGTAGAATAAACAAATAGCTGCCATCAGCATTTATAACCGAGCCTTTGGGTCACCTAGAGGGTGAAGGCAAGATGCCCTTCTAGTCACCCTGAGCCATGCAACTGTCCCTGAAGCCCTACCTGAAGGGCTCCAGGACACGGAGATGCAGCTAGCCCACGCCATGCCCTCCTGCTCCCCTGGGCTTCTTTCTGGCTGCGCTGGGAAAAGTGCCTACACAGCTCTGGGAGGGAAGAGAGTTAACTCTCCATTTGCCATTAAACATAATCAGACAGAAATCTGTGTGGAGTGTGCTGCTCTGGCCGATAAGTGATTCCCCAGAACAACAGATAAAAGCCTGGCACTAAAGTGCAGCCAGAAACGATGTGTAATTGGGATGAAAGAATCCTTAAATCTGCACGGTGCTTTTAACTTGGGAGGCTTAAATTACAATTAATAGTTCCCTTGAAGGAGGGGGTGGGTTAGAGGAATTCCAAGGCCTTGAGCTCACAGCCTTGGGCTGCATCTCAGCTCTTCGGTGTTGGGGTGAGAAGGCGTGCTAAGTGGTGAGGACGGAGGGGAAAGCTGGGAAGGCGGAGCCTCTCAGGGTGCCAGGACCCTGATGGGTTGCATCCGTTTTAAGTTCCAAACCCACCAATTTCCAAATAAGTTCATCCGTTCTCCTGGACTTTTGCCCAGTCCCCTGAAGCAGCATCCTTGGAATGTTGCCAACAGTTAAAACTCATTGCCCCCATTTTACAGCTGGAAAAACCAAGAAGCCACACTTACACTAGGCAGGGCCTGACAGCTCTTCCTCTTTATGATTCACTGGGGGCAAGGAGACCCGGAGATGGGAGGGTATGGAGTTAAGACCAGAACCCAGGCTATTCCTCCCTTTCCACCTTGGTGAGTGAGCCCAGGTTCCCTCTCCCCAGCCACACAGCCCCTTGGCCTTCTCCTTACCTGGCTGCTCTCCCCGCTCACTCCCCAGACAGGATGGAGTCCTGACTGCATTGCCCCAGGGAAGTTTCATGGTCTTCCCACAAGCCTGCCCCCTCCATCTCTGCTTGGCCCAGTCGGGATGCCCTCCTCTTCCCCAGCATGCAGACTTGCATGCTCGCCCTCTGCCTTGCCACCAGGACCACAGTGCCCAAGAATTTCTGCTTTCTGCTCCAGGGTCCTGTGCTACGGGCAAAGCCATCGGCCACAGGGCTGTGGACAGCCTCAAGTGGGTGACAGCTGGGCATGAACCGGAACCATGAAGCTGGCACACTCACCTCCAGGAGCAAGGGGTTTGGTTCTCAGATAACACCAGCAACCTGTCAGAGGGCGCAGGAGAGCTGTCTGGGCATTCCCAGCACTGGCCATGGGGCTGCCCCTGCCACTTGGTCCAAGATCTCAGACTCCTGTGCTGGCGGGAATTCTGGAGCCCCCCACATATGAGCTCATGGGTGGCTGGGTGCCCAACCCCGCATTTCATGCCTTTGGAATGTGCTCTCTGGGCCGGCCTTTCCCTCCCCCCATCCTGCTTCAGCAAGTGCCACTGTCTGCTCTCAGCCCTTCAAAGACAGGCAAATTCCAGAAAGGGATTTTTATTAACACTGTTAAATTGTGTAAGCACTCACATGCGCATGCACACGTGTGTGTGTGTGCAAACATCCTGTGTGCAGAGGTGAGCTTGTGTACACCTGTCCATAGGCATGCATAGGCATACATGGGCATATTTGTGTGCATTTGTGTATGTGGGGTGTGTATGTATGTGTGTGTTTCTATTGTATGCGTGCATTTGTGTATGTGGAGTATGTGTGTGTGTGTTTGTATTGTGTGTGTGTGTTTGTATTGTGTGTGTGCATGTGTGTGTATTCTGTGCATCAGTAGTTTTAAAAGAACGCAGTGGGATCTGCTTGGGGCCCTGTGTAGCTGAACCTTATTTATAGCTCTCCTCTGTCTGGTTCGTTTCCTCTAACTTCCCTGCAGAATGATATGAATGAAAATGACACTATTGACTATCTTGGTAACCATAAAAGACCTTATAGAAATAAGATTTTTATAGTTTGTGGACTGGGAGAATCAAAAGACTAAGAGTTATGGACTCAGAGGATAGGAGAGAATCAAGCCAAGGCGGTCGGAGAGGTCCCTGGGTGGATCGTCTGTGGGTTTTTTTAAACAAACTCGTATAAATAAAGTGATTGTCTTGAAAGAGTTATGAGAGCCTTGAAGCTAGTGGGCAATATCTCCGTGGCCCCTACAAAGACGGGAGGACAGCATGCTCCCTGCCTGGGAGGAAGCACTCGCTCTACCTACATTCCTGGTCCTGGCCTCCGAGGAGCGGTGAGGAGGCAGCAGTGGGACAGCGCTGTCCTTCTGTCTCCTGGAGATCTGCAACATTTGACAGCTTAGAAACAAAACCCACCATTAGCCAGTATGGATCTGTGCACCCTGAGCCAGGGGCCAGTGCTGAGGTCGAGCCTGCAGGTCCTGGGGCTGTGTCCCCTCCAAACTTGAATGGAGAGATCTGTCCAGCCCCATGTAGTCAGAGCATTTGGACCCCACACAGGGACTTCATCAGCCCCTCCCTGGGAAACCACAGCACAACTTTGCAGAGAGAGTTCTGTGGTTCCCAGCCTGCACCTGTGCAAAGTTCAAACTCAGCCCTACTAATCTTTACCAGTGCCCACTTAGCATTTGGACTTTCAGAGAGGAAGCAGAGCTCAGCCTGCCCTCAAAGAGCGCCTGGTGGAGAGGATGGAGGAAAGGCGGCATGGACAAGAAGATAGGCCCACTACTGACTGGTGCGTGGGAAACAGGGTCACTCCTCCAATTGGGCACTTGGGGAGGCAGGTACTGACAGAGATGGGTACTGAAACTTGGTGATGAAATTTCTGCTTTTGTTCAGCTCAACAAACTAGGTACTGGGCCATGAGCACATAGACTCAATCAGGCCCAGTCCTCACCATGGAGATAAAACACCTGCCCAGAGAGGAGAGGGGGACTGGCATAAGCAACCCAATACAGGATGTTAAGGCTTGAATTGCACAGTTGCCCAGGGAACACGGATTATCTCTGCCTGGTCAAGGAGGGCTCCTTAGAAGAGGCAACCTTTCCACCCAGCCTTGAGAGACAGTTAGGATATCACTAGAAAGAGTTATTGGAAAAGGCATGCCTGGAAGGGGTGGTAGTAAACACAAAGGCCCAGAGATTTAAAAAAAAAAAAAAAATACAAGGTTCATTTGGAAATTGCTTGGGTATCCAGGAGTTTGCTGGCTAGCAGAAGTGGGATAGATTTTGAATGAAATATTGGGGGCCATTGCTGGGTGTGGTGGTGCACGCTTATAATCCTAGCACTTAGGAGGCTGAGGCAGGAGGATCATTGTGAGTTTGAGACCAGCCTGGGCTACAAAAGTGAGCTCAAGGCAGGCCTGAACTGCACAGTGAGACCCTGTCTCAAAGAGACAAAAAAAAAAAAAAGAAATATTGGGGGCCATTCTTGAGTCAAGGAGGAGGGACAATCTGACCCAGGAGTCTAGGCAGTGGCAGTGACACTGAAAAGGGTCACATCAGAGGCAGTAAGATCAGGCAAGATGGGACAGATTCCTCCCCTACTCTGCCTCTGGACTATTTGAGTTCTGCTGATGGATTTCCAGACAAAGAGCAGGATGGCGCCCTTAGTGTGAGCAGTCAGCAGCCTGGCTTCTCTCACGCTTCCCTCTTTCTCTTTCTCCTCATTCCAGTGTCCCCACCTTCCAGCCCCCGCCCAGCCCTTTGAGCCCTTGAAAAGGACAATTCTGAAAACCAGAGAGAAGATGCTCTATCTGGTCAGGCGGCCTATTAGAAATAACCACCAGGTCTGAGAGGCCATCCAGACTCCTACCTCTTCCCCCTGGGGACCTAGGGACATAGGTGAGGCCCACAGCACATGCCTGTGCCACTTGTCAGTGCCCTGACTCCTTGTCTGCAGGCATTGATTTCTCTCCCTCCCGACCTTTCAGGAGAGGTGCCCTGAATTCCAAGCCAGGTCATTACCAAGCTGGCAATGCAGACTTTTCAAGCCCTAGCCCCTTGCTGCTCTGACCCCTTCAAATGCATCTGGGAAAGCAGCCCTTCTTGTGAGCTGGTCAGCACGTGCCTGAATCGAGGCAAGTGGAGTGGGGCACACCGACTCCTTGCAAGGAGAGTTTATGGTTCTTGATTACACCCAGCAGGGAGGCCTTCTTAGTGATGAGAGAGAAAATATTCAACAACCTGTCTTTGCAATGTGCTGATCTCCTGGGGGAGGGGCTTGAGACAGTGATTTACGATTTACGAGTGAAGAGAAGGGCTTTTTTCTTTCCATGACTCCCCCAAACTGCCTCAACATTTCCTCTTTCTTGTCATCTGTTTTTGCTCTGGTGTAAATTTGCAGCCAAATGCTCTGCCAATGGACGGAAAGCCCAAAGGACACGGCCTAGGAGGGGACGGTCCTCCTAGCCCTCGCCTAGCACTCATTTAAAGCTGGGCCAGGACGCTGCCACCACTGACTCCAAGGCCTCTTCCGGAGTCCCTTCTCCCTTCCCAGTCTTTATCTCACTCTGCTTTATACTCAAAGGACACATGCTTAGGCTCAGTACCCAACACAGTGCCTGGCACATGGGCAGTGCAAATAAATGAAAAAATGGGTGAATAGTATGTGGCTGTTGTCCCTCCCCATGTGGGCCCTCTGTGCCTCCCACGGCTCCCATCCAGTAACTAGTCCAAAGTCAGCACCAATGACCTATCTTGGATAAATGAGTGAGTAAATAATCGACTCTACACCCTGCAAAACCTCAGCACCCTCATGGCACTGCTCCCACTCTGCCTGCTTTCTGAAGCTCACTTTGATTGTAAATGACACACAGTATGCCCCTCGGAAAGTGGTATGTTGGGGGAGAAAGGGCCTTTTTGGAGATGATATTTTTAATTGCTTCTTAATAATTTATGGGAATTTTCAATGCCTAGCTGTGAAAGCACCCAGTGATGGTCACTGAATGTGCGGAGGGGGCAGCGAGTGGGGAGTGCTGGGCCATTGCAAGAACCCTGACCTCTTCCCTCCCAAGGCATCAGCCAGGAGCCCAGAACCAGACATCTCTGCTCTCGCTTGCCTTCTCTACTCTCCTCACCACTCCAGGGCTCTTCCAGGCTCCACCAAACCCCTGCCACTCCCTTTCTGCCTCAGTCTCCATACCTGAAAAGTGGGGAGGGGCATATCAGAAGAATAAGGCTCCCTGTGTCTACATGAACAGCAGCATTCAAGCTTCCAAGACGCATCCGGTCTCCTGTTCCCACGGTGAGAGGAAGCCAAAGCCCAATTAAGAAGTGAAGGGTGGGTCCTAGGCCTGCCACCCCCAGAAGAGGTAGGGAACCTGCAATCCAGGACCAGCCCCCAGAGGATGAGCGCAAGATCTTCAAAGCCAGCCAGTTCAGTGCTTCTACCTGGGGAGAAAAGAGGCACCGGGCATCTGGTACACCCTGGGGCGAGCTGGGTCAGCAAGCTGGGCATCTCTCCTGGCTGCCAGGACCCAGCAAGGTGCTGCCCGTCAGCCCTCCAAGACCCTGGAGTGGCTGAGCACCCTGCCGGCCAGCTCCCCTTGCTTCTGGCTCTGCAAAGCTTGCTGTCCGCTGAAAGGCGGGGAGGTGGGCTGCGCCCCAGGGAGGATGCCTGCGCTCGGAAACTTTACACTGAAAAGTTAATCCACCGAAGCGTAGCCCAAAAATAAGCGCACTGCCTAATGTGCCGGGAACTGCCGGTCGCAAGGCCAGACTGCTAGCGGATGTCTGCGCATCTCCGCCCGCCCGCCCAGAGCCTACATTTAGCGCCAGCGAGGGAGTCTGGGCTGAGCGCTGCTTTCACACCGACTCGAGCCGCGAGTTTATGGATCTTGATTGCACCCAGCAGGGAATCCTTTTTAGTGATGAGAGAAAAAATATTCAACAACCTGTCTTTGCATTGGGTGTGTTGGACACACTTCCCTGCTTCGGAATCCGACATATGCGAGTTGTGGGAGTAGAGCCGCTGTCAGCGGGCCAGAACGCGCCTCTCCTCCCTCTCCTCCCGCGTCCCCGTGCAGGGGGCGGGGAGCCCCGGGCGCGTGCGGCCAGCCCGGCCTCCGGCGGACGGGCGGCCCC